GCTTGTCACACAAGCATGAGGCCCTGAGTGGATTCCCCAGCGTCCACATCTGGACCCTAGCACTAGGGGAGCAGAAACCAGAGGGTCCCCAGAGTTCACTGTCCAGTTAACCCAGATAGTCAGTGAATTCCGTGAGAGACTGTGACTTTGAGCCAATGTCCTCTGAGCTTTCCGGTAAGCATAGCAGCCTTCACTTACTTGTATAGCATTTGATGAAAAGATGCCACTGTGAGTAGAGCTTTGAGTCACAGGAAACTGAAACTTCCCCTCTCCTGTCTGTCCCTGGCTCCTCCCTATGAGGCTGGAGGGTGGTGATCCCTGGGTGGATGGTCTTTCTATATAAGGAGAAAAGTTGGTGCCGGGTGTTGCTGTCTTCTCCTGGATCACAGCTGCAGCCAGGAGCCCAGATGTGTTTCCAAGGCAGAGTGAGGGCTTTTCCCAGCCGCCTCTGCCAAAACCAAAGGCAGCGTCTTCTGGAGTGTGTGGTGAAGGCAGTTTTCCACTTGGCTGCTTTGGTGCTGAGGTCGTTTACATGCTTTAGTAAATGAGTTATTGCTTATTGAAGCTGGCCGACTGGGCATTCAGAATAAATGGCAGGTGACCACAACACCACTCTGGGAGCACCTGGCTTCAGCAGGAGCGGTGTGATTTGTGTATGCCCTCGTGGTGGAGAATGGGTGAAAGCGAATTCCACTTGCAGGTTCCTGTCCTGTTTTCAAAGACAAGGAGGATTGGGGTATCGCTGTTCTAGGGTTCTCATGAAACCTGGCCTAAGTAGCCGCTGCTCCTGTGAAGATGTGTACAAGGATTTCTGAGGAGGGATGCTGCGTAATCCTTTCCGAATGAAGCAGTCAGTTATCAGATTCTCTGCATTTGTTTCAGAAGTAAAGGAGTCCGGAGATGGAGTGCCAGCTCAGCTCTTGAAAGCACCTGCTGCTCTTCCAAAGGACCCAGTGTCCTCTTCCGGCCTCTATGAACACTGGGCATGGCTATGGTACACATTCTTGCAAGCCAAACACTTGTACAAAGAATCCATGGAGGGCTGGTGATGCAGTGTATGTGGTAGAGGGCTTGCCTGGCATGCAGGAAGCCCTGGACCCCTTGTCCTGCACTGCCCGAATCCCAGGACTGAGGAGGTGATCACAAACTCACGGTTACACCTCCCCCTCTTCCAGAGGACCCGTGTTTGTCTGACAGCACCCGTGGTGGTAACCCCAGTTCCAGGAAATCTGTACCCTCTTCCATCTTCACAGGCACCTGGGCACCCCTGGCACACATTTACATCCATCACCTAAGTACAGTAAATTCAAGGTCATCCTGACGCAGCAAATCAGAGATGAGCCTGGAATACCTGAGACCTTATCAGCAGGGGGAACTCCCTAGTCCCTGCAGAAGGAAGTAAAAAGTCCTTTGAGGTGTACTTTTTCCTAATTAACTCCTCTTACCCTTTGTTAAAGCTTCTGACTCACTAGACTTCAGTCTCTGTTCTTCAGGCTGTTTCCATGTGGGTGTAACATCCTTTAATAAATTATTTTCCTGAGCCTGACGTCTCAGCTACTTGGGAGACTGAGACAGAAAGAAGCTCATCTGGAGCCAGAAGTTCAGAGCAAGATAGCAAAAACAAAGATGGCAGGCATGGTTGTGCACACCTTTGACTCTACAGCACAAGCGCATCTTTGTGAGTTTGAGGTTAGCCTGGTTTCCATAGCAAGTTCTAGAGCTACACAGCAAGACTCTGTCTCAAAAGCAAGCAAGTGGGGCACGGGGAGAGGCAAGGTGTCAGGGATAGAACTCAATTATTACAGTGTTTGCCTAGCAAGCAGGAAGCCTTGGGCTCCCTAACACCACCTAGACTAGACAAGGCAGTGCACATCTGTGATCCCAGATAACACAGTTGGTGAAGTACTTTATGTGTGGACAGTTTGTCCTTGTGGGTCTGCGCACCATGTGTGGACCTGATGCCCAAGGAGGCCAGATGGCATTAGATCCTGGAACCGGGGCTACAGAAGGTTGTAAGCCACCATGTGGGTACTGGAACTCCAACCCAGGTACTTAGGAAGAGCAACCAGTGCTCTTAGTTGCTGACCCAACAACTCTGTCTTTAAAAAAAGAAAAGAAAAGAAAAACCTGGGTATAACTTTTGTCTCCAGACAAAAGTGAGAGGAGAGGGAGGATGGTTAAGTAGGAAAAGGTGCTTGTCCCTGAAGGCTGATGACCTGGGTTCTATCCTCAGGACTCACGAAGTGGAAGGAAAGAACCAACTCCCACAAAATGTCCTCTGACCTCCACACACAAATAGCCCTCTATGTCACCCTGACTGTCCTGAAAATAGTTATGTAGACCAGGCTGGCCTCAAACTCAGAAATCCACCTGCCTCTGCATCTTGAGTGCTGGGATTAAAGGTGTGTGCCCTCACTCCTGGCTGAATTTCTCATGTTTTTAAACCTGTCTTCAGTTGCGTGTGTGTGCGTGCGTGTGTGTGTGTGTGCGTGCGTGTGCGTGTGTGTGTGTGTGGTGGGTGTGTGTGTGTGTGTGCGTGCGTGTGTGTGGTGTGTGTGTGTGTGCGTGCGTGTGTGTGTGTATGTGTGTGTGCGTGTGTGTGTATGTGTGTGTGTATGTGTGTGTGTGTGTGTGTGTGTGTGTGTGTAAGATGGCCCCAGAGGCACTATTTTTGTTTTAACTTTTTTTTTTTTTTTTGAGACAGGGTTTCCCTGTGGAGCTCTGGTTGTCCTGGAGCTCACTTTGTCTTAAATTCACTGAGATCCACCAGCCTCTGCCTCCCAAGTCCTGGGATTAAAGGTGTGCACCACCACCACCCAGCTAATTTTTGTTTTAATTTTTAAAAATACAAATGGTGTTTTGCCTGCATGTTGTCTGAGCCCACAGAGGAAGGTTCAGATGTCATGGGACTGTGGTAACAGAGTGAGCCACTAAGCATGGAGACAGGACCCTTTGGAAGAAGAGCCCGCGCTCCTAACTGCTGAACTACCTTTTCAGTTCTACACTTGGTTGTTAATTCTATTTATTACTTAATACTCATGGAAGCCAAAGGACAATTTACGGGGGTTATTTCTCTCCTTCCACCCCATGGATTGGAGAAACTGAACTCAGGTCATGAGGTTGGTGGTCATGACTTTACCTGCTGAATTACATTGCTGGTCTGTTCTGTTTTAGAGGCGAGGCATGATCTCATATGTCCCAGCCTGGCCTGGAATTTTCTATGCGACCAAGGATGATCCCAGAGTGCTGGGATTACAGGTATACTGTGCTCAGTTTATGTAGTGCTGGGTGTTGAACCTAGGACTTCAAACATGGTAGGCCAGTGCTCTGCTATCTTAGCCACTTGTTTGACATAGGGCTTCTTGTAGCCCAGGTCGGACTTGAACTTGCTATGTAGCTAACCCTAGGCTTGAACTCCGGATCCTCCTGCCATCACTTCCCAAGTGCTGGGATTACAGACCTGCATCACCAGACCAGGGTGATTTTTAATTCTGTTGTGAGGCTGGAGAGTCAGCAGCTGGGAGCACTTGCTGTCCAGTCCTGAAGACCTTAACAGGCTTCCCCATGTCCCTGGCGCTTGACAGCTGGAGCTAGAGGCCTAAATCCATCTGTCCAGTAAATGTGGAGTCTCTTGTGAGCCAGGAATATGCTCGACAGCATGGAACATAGCAGGCGGTGAGTGTCTTCCAGACAGAGGCAGGTTAGACTCATCTCTGTACCCCCCACTCAGCAGTCTTTCCTTGCAGGTGTTCGGTGGATGTTTGTCGAGTTCAGCTCACATCCTGCCCCTGCATACTGATCTCAGAGGTCCAGCCTAAGCCCTTTTTTCCAAAAAGAAAACTCCATGCTTTTGCCTCATGTCCTTTTTCCCCCAGACAGGGTTTCTCTGTGTAGTCCTGGCTGTCCTAGAACTTGCTCTGTAGACCAGGCTGGCCTCAAACTCAAAGATCCACCTCTCTGCCTGCATTAAAGGCATGTGCTGCCACTGCCTGGCTTGGGTTTCTTACTCTCTTGCCCTCTCACCTAGTAAGTATAAGGAAGTTTTCTTCACACTTCTACAAGTTCCTGAACTTTGCTCTGGAACTATCTAGAACAACTCAGTCCTGCATATCTCATTTAAAACCTAATTTGAAAGGATTTGCCTAATTTTAAATTTTAAGGAGAAATAGATACAGTTACTATTACCAGCCTAATATTCATAAAATTACAATAATTAAAATATTAATGTTTTGGGCTGGAGAGATGGTTCAGTTGTTAAGAGCACTGGCTGCTCTTGCATAGGACCTGGGTTCAATTCCCAGATCCCACAACCATAACTCCAGTTCTGGAGAATCCTATTCTCTCACACAGACATACATGCAGGCAAGACATCAATGCACATATAAAAATACAACATCAGCCAGGTGGTGGTGGCACATGCCTTTAATCCCAGCATTTGGGAGGCAGAAACAGGCAGATCTCTATGAGTTTGAGGCCAGCCTGGTCCAGAGAGTGATTTCCAGGACAGGCTCCAAAGCTACAGAGGGACCCTGTCTTGAAAAACTAAAATGAATGAATGTAAAGAATCATTGTAAGAGAATTTTGAAATATTAATATTTCATATTTTTCTATTCAAGTCTTTTTCCCTTGTAGCATGGGAGATCAAACCCTGGGCCTTGCACACACTGGCCAAATCCCAACTGTCTACTGCCTCCCCTTTACAGTACTGTCTCAGAAGTCTGATGCATAGCCTACATTCATAGCACTAACCACGTGTGCTCAGTGGTGATATTGCTGGACAGATGGAAACTGTGTACCACTTAAATACTTAAATTTGCCAGGCTGTGGTGGCGCATGCCTTGAATCCCAGCACTCGGGAACAGAGGCAGACTGATCTCTATGAGTTCAAGGCCAGCCTGGTCTACAGAGTGAGTTCCAGGACAGTCAGGACTACACAGAGAAACCCAGTCTCAAAATAAATAAATAAATAAATAAAATAAAAATAAACCTTAAAGTTACGGAGAACAAGAAAGCCAGAGAAACATCTATGACAATGACTTCACTGGCAAGAGAGAACTCGGACAAAGCAGAATTACTTGCTCAGAGATGCGCCATTTAAAGCTTTTAAAGAGTTTAAAATAATTTCTTAGTTTTTGCTTTTTATAGAGCCCAGGCCGCCTCTTAATCCCCCATGTTTCTGTTCCTGCTCTCACAGGGCCACAACACTTAGGCTCTGCCTTTTTTTAAACTGTTCTTGGTACCTAGTCCTAGACTTCGCCCTTAGGTAAAGCCAGCAATTTAAAGACCAGGCGTGGTGGCGCACACTGGTGATCTCAGCACTTGGGAAGCAGAGACAGGCAGGTCTCGGTGATTTCAAGGTTAGCCTGGCCCTGTCTCCAAAACAAAAACAAATTACTTTTGAAATGCTTGTAAGCTGCAGTTGGGGGCATCTTCTCCCTCTCTCCTTTGTTTCCATGGCTTGAACTCCCTATTTTCTCGAACCCGACCCGGCAGACAGTTTCCCAGGAAACTGGAAGCATCCGCATGGTTTATCTCAGCTCCCTGTGTATGCATTCCTGCTTGTAGAAGTGGAGTTCTGTCTGCTGCTAAGGGTGACCTCGCATCAGGCTGTAGGAACAGGACATTATTAAATAAAAAATACAGACCCTGTTTTTTTTAGTTCACATTCCTAACCCCACACACACAAGATATTTTTGATTGATGAGGGATGAGACAGTGCCTTTTCAGATATTTAGTCATCAAAAATGACATGTCGGCTGAGAAACCCATATTTAGTAAGAAGATGGAGGACGAAGCTAGGGTGGACTGCCAGATGCGGGCTCATGGGAAGGGAACAGTGGGAGAGGGACATATGGAGCATGTTTGAAAACAAAACACTGGACAAGTATTCAAGTGTGATAAACATGGTGGTCAGAAGAGGAATCGCTGGTATGCATGCTGCAGAGTTGTCCCAGGCCAGAAGAGACATTGCAACATCCAAAGCCCAGGCCAGCACTCCCATTTGCTCTTCTTTCTGGAACTGTGTTCTTTCCCATTACCAAAAAAGAAAAAAAAAAGTTGAATATATACACAGTCAAAAGCAATAATTAGGAAGCCAGAATCATAGCTTCATACAAAAAAAAGGAACCCTGCCTTGTGAGCTCTTCCATCCCCCTGCAGTACTGATCTAGCATCCATACAGAACACCTCCATGGATGCCTACCAAGCACTGAAGACATCGCTGAATGAATGAATGAACTGGCTGAGAGCAGGGGACTCTAAATGATTGATGGGGGTGAAGTGAAAGACAAGACTTTACATGCAGCTGCGACTGCTGCTGGCGGGGGCGGGGCGGGGGTCCAGAGCTGGAAGGGATGGACCTGTGACTGCGGGGGAGGGGGGGCACGGACGGGGATTAGTCCGGAGCTGGAAGGGAAGCAGAGGGCCAAGTGGGAAGAGACGGGATGGGTTCTGCAGCTTAGAGGAAAAGGCTGAGGAGACAAGGTGATGCGAAAGCCCGAAAAGCAGCCTGTGCTTGCACCACACCCACTGGCCATAGGCTGTCCCCTCACCTGTGTGTCCTTGTAGTCCAGGCTGGCCCTCCTTTCCTGAGTCTCCTGAAGCCTCAGGATTACAGGTGTGCGCCACTATGCTTGACTTCAGCATTACATTTCCAAGTTTTCTCAATCTACCTGGGAGTTCCAGTCTTTGCTTTCTCTCTGACAGGAGCAATTCTGATACCATCTTAAATTCCAAAGCTTTGACTTCAGCTTCCTCATGGATTGTGTTTGTTTGGTTGAGGCAGGAGCATCTCAACATATTGCTAGGGTTGACCTCAGTCCTGGGTTCGAATGATCCTCCTGCCTCAGCCTCCCATACAGTTGAGACTCTAAGTACACCTAGCCTGTAGTGTTAATTTTTGTTAAAACTGCAACTCTCAAAAAAGATCATTACAAATTTTTTTGAAAACCCTATTTTCCGTGTAAATGTTTAAAACAAGCTTAAAATATTTTGATATCCACATATGTCAAATAATGGCGTACTTGAAGGAAATATTCAAGCATATGGATTGGATGGGGCCTGAGTGCTTGTAGGAATTTCCTTCTAATATTCACCTGCTCTTGATTATATGGATTTCAGATAAAAATATCTTTGCCCCATTTGTACCTCCTGAATTCCTGTCTCCAATATCAAGTGATTTCAACTGCTGACTTCTCTCACACACTCCTTCTAGCAATATCCCTGAGTCAGCTTGCCCCAGTGAGCTCATGCAGCCACGGGTCTTCATGAACATTGGTTTCGTCCAGGAAGTTAAGTCCTGAAGAATTCTGTCTTATGAGAATTATGATCTAATTATTTCTCAAGTATATCTGAGTTAACAAAACGCAGCCAGTGGGGTGTGCCTTCTGACAGCCAAACAGACCACTTTCTGCATTCCTTTGAAATAAGATATAGTCCAGTATTTTAAACCATAGCAACAGTTGATAAGAAAAACAGCAGAAAGGTAATCATTTCCATATGGAAAGAAAAGCAAGAAAGCAGCAAAGCTGGGAACCATTGTTTTTCCATGTAGCAAAATAAGTTCCTACTGGTATACGGAGCAGAAATAGCCAATGCTCCTAGTTATGTTTGCTGATACACTGTGTGTGTGATGTATCTCATTGAAACACAATGTTTCCTTCAAACATACTGGCAAATTTTTTTGTGCCTGTGGTTCTTCAGAGTGAAACCAACATCCTCCTCTATTAATTTCAGTACTGTATAGGCTGTGTGATAATTTTCTCAATTTCAAAAAACCTATGGGTGAGTGGTATTTTTACTTTAGGGTCACAAGAATGGCTCACTTGAGCCAGGTGGTGGTAATGCACTCCTTTAATCCCAGCACTCGGGAGGCAGAGGCAGGCGGATCTCTGTGAGTTTGAGGCCAGCCTGCTCTACATGAGCTAGTTCCAGGACAGGCTCCAAAGTTATAGAAAAACCCTGTCTCGAAAAAAAAAAAAACAAAAACAAAAACGGCTTGCCTGGTGAAGGTGCCTGCCACCAGGCCTTATGACCTGAGGGTGATCCTCCTCCAGACACAGAACCGACTTCTCTAAGTTGCCCTCTGACTCCCGAATCCACACAGTGGCACAAGCATGTCCACACACTCACACAAACAATAATAAATAATGCAGATTTACAGAAAAACATATAAGCTGCCGACTGTAGCAACTCAAAATCTAGTAGTCTTTAGAACAGCAGCTGAATAAAGTCAGTTTCTGCTCTGACATTCTACAGTCCACAGCCAAACTGACAGTGAACTTAGTTCACTCATTCCCAGGGGGTTGAAGGAAAGCAATTAGTACATTTACCTGTTTACTTTAATTAAAAAAAAAAAAAAGCTGGGTGTGGTGGCCAAGTCTTTAATTCCAGCACTCAGGAGGCAGAGGCAATTGGATCTCTGTGAATTTGAGATCCATCTGGTCTATATAGTGAGTTTGAAACCAGCCAGGGCTGCACAGTAAGACCCTGTTTCAAAATAAATATTTAATGTGTGGGTGCATGCATTTGTCATGGTACATATGTGGGCCAGGGATGGATCTCAGTTGTCAGGCTTGGCAGCAGGTGCCTTAACCTGCTGAGGCATCCCTCCAAGTCCTGGCTTTGGTTTTTGAGACAAGGTCTTGCCGTGTGTATCGCCCTGTCTGACCTGGAACTTGGTGTGTGCTCAAGCTGACCCTCGTGCCTCCATCACTCAAGAGCTAGGATTTCAACCATTTGCAACAGTGTCTAAACTTTTTGACCCAGCCTCATCTTGAACTCCTGACTGATAAGATCCTCCTGCCCCAGCCACCAGAGTGCTGGAAGTACAGGGCACGCAGTTGCACTTGACCCAATGTTCTTTTTTGCTTTTGTTTTTATGTGAGATTTTATTCTGATAAAGAAATGTTGCCAGGGCTAGTACCAGGGAGATTTTCTCTCTCATTTGCATCTACTGTTTTAGATTTGGAACTTCTGTTTAGGTCTCCTTTCTACTTTCAGATAAATTTTGAAAAAATATAAAATAAATATCCCCAATGTTCCTTATTATTATTATTATTGTTTTGTTTTTTGAGATAGGGGTTTCTCTAATAGTCCTGGCTGTCCTGAAACTAGCTCTTGTAGACCAGGCTGACCTTGAATTCACAGAGAACCACCTGCCTTTGCCTTCTGAGTGCTGGAATTAAAGGCCACCACCCTGCTCCAATGTTCATTTTTAAATAGCTGTGTAAAAGTAGCTTACTGTGTTCAAAGTCGATGGTCACACTGTAGTGTTTGACAACATCTCCCTCTTGTGGCTCAATGCATTCATTTCCAAAGGTAAAATACATTTACAGAATTGTAGTTCTCAGACCCAAGTAGTGGCTGATGCTTAACACTTAGGAGGCTGAAGCCGAGGCTCGAGAATCATAGCAAGTTTCAGGCCTTCCTGGGCTACAGAGACCCTGCCTTAAAAACAAACAAAACCCGTGCTAGGGCTGGAGGGATGGCTCGGGGTGAAGAGTACTTACTGCTCTTGCAGAGAACGGGGTTCAGTTCCCAGAACTAGCACCTCCATCTCTGGCTCCAGAGGACATAACTTCTCCTTCTGGCTTCCACGGGTACCTTTTTATGCATGTACACAGCCACGCACAGCACATGCACAAGTGTGCATGCATACACACACACACACACACACACACACAAATCTTTTTTTTAAATCCCGGGTGAATACTTAAAAGTAATTTTTTTGCTTTCATTTGAACTATGAACGCTTATGTCATGTTTAGTAAGTCTTTTTTGCGTAAAGAGGGAAGATTTAGAAACATGGAGAACTCCTTGGATTCGTACAGCTCTATCTGTCAAGTGTTTTGGAATTCTCTTAAATGAGGCTCCGAGGGGCACAGAGCTGCCTCTGGTGGCTGAAGCAGAAGGATCTCTTGAACCCAACAGTTTGGGAACCTGTCCTAACAAAACGATGTTCTTTATAGAATCATTGCTTTTTTTTCCTTACAAATGAAATACCACATACATGCTTGTAGCAGGCTTTCTTCTGGGCCACCAATCAGCTCCCAAATCACAGAGACTTCATTGTTTTGTTTTGTTTTGTTGAGACAGGGTTTCTCTGTGTAACCTTGGCTGTCCTGCTTCTGCCTCCCAAATGCTGGGATTAAAGGTGTGCATCACCACCACCCAGCCTTAAATGGTTACTCTTTTTTTGTTTGTTTGTTTGTTTTTTAAGACAGGTTTCTCTGTGTTACAGTCCTGGCTGTCCTGAAACTAGCTATCAGGTTGGCCTCGAACTCAGAGATCCACCTGCCTCTGCCTCCTGAGTGCTGGGATTAAAGGCGTGCGCCACCACCGCCTGACTTCAAATGGTTACTCTTTAACATAACTACTACTCTCCAAATTGAAGTCAACACGGTCATCACTACAAATCACTTGTTGAAATAATCTATTCTGAAGAAAAATTAGGAAAAGGAGTTGAAACAATTCCTCCAAATCACACATTTATAAGTATTGCCGTATAAGTGGAAAAGCAATTTTTTGGCAATAGAAAAAAAGACTCAGCAACAATTTATTAAATTCAGCATTCTAGTTTGTTACTTTAACAGACTGAACTTTAGAACAAGTATTTATATTTATTTATCTATTCTGAGACGGTCTCATGGACCCAAGGTTGGCCCGGAACACACTTTTATTTATTTAGTTTTTTTGAGACGGAGTTTCTCTGTAGCTTTGGAGCCTGTCCTGGAACTCGCTCTGTAGCCCAGGCTGGCCTTGAACTCACAGGGATCCTGGCTGTCCTGGGACTAGTTCTTGTAGTAGACCAGGTTGGCCTTGAACTCACAGAGTTCTGCCTGCCTCTGCCTCCCGAGTTCTGGGATTAAAGGCGTGCGCCACCAGAGGCTTGGCCTGGAATACTTGGCGTGGCTAAGGATGACCTTGCTCTGGTTCTCAGGCTTCTTCCAGAGCGCAGGGATCTCACATGACCTCCACTGAACATGGCTCAATTTTGAAAATATTTTAGTTCGAAACTCCTGTGAGATGTTTTCCCTCTTGGTTTAGGGTTAGAGGTTACCGTAACTAGCAACAACTTGTTCTAACAATGTAAAACTGTCCAGAAAATCTTCTTCCTCTATTCCAAATTTTGTGTATTGATGAACGTAGGCTCTGGTGAAAAGCAGAAATGGTCAAATCAGCAAATCCAGGCAAATGAGAAACATTTGTAAACAATAAGTAGACCTTTCCTGGCTTGTGAGCGTTCAAAGCTCACAGAACCTCTTAGGGACCGTATGTGTGGGTCACTGTTTACTCAGAACCAGTGAGCAGCATTAGTAAACTTTCAGCCTATCACCACGCTCCCTTTACCTTTGCTGTCGGGGGGGGGGGGGGGGGGGAGCAGGTCTGACTGCAGTCCAGGCAAACAGGTTCAGTTCACTACAGGAGGTGATGCCTCCAGATCAACTCTAAAAGGAGCCCAGAAGTTTCCCTGAGGGTTTGACATTAGAAATGAATCTAGGGCTCTGCCTTGTGGTTTTCTCAGACCCTTCCTGTTGGGGAATATTATTTTCAGACGTGTGACTTTTGTTTACGCTGCATTTGTTTAACTCTGTGAAGCTGTGGTTCTGTGCCTGTCTACAACACCTGATGGCCCTAATAAAGAGCTGAACAGCCAATAGCGAGGCAGGAGCAGGGATAGGCGGGGCCAGCAGGCAGAGAGAGCAAATAGAAGGAGAAACCTGGGAGGAGGGAGAATGAGGATCGATAAGAGAACAAGGAGAGGAGGACATCAGGGGCCAGTCATCCCCTACACAGCAAACCGCGGAGAAAGAAGTAAAGGAAGGTATACAGAAATAGAGAAAGATAAAAACCCAGAGGCAAAAGGTAGTCGGGATAACGTAAGATAAGAAAAGATGGCTAGAAACAAGCCAAGCTAAGGCCAGGCAGGCATTCATAACTAAGAATAAACCTGTGTGTGTGATTTACTTGGGAGCTGGGTGGTGGGCCCCTCAAAAGAGCCAAAAGAGTAAAATTTCCACAACACCTTCCCACCCAAATGTTCTGAGTCAGGAGAAACCCAGCACCCAGAAGACCAGCGAGGGCAACCCGAGATAAATTGACATCATAGCAAGAGTAAGACGAGCCAAAAGAGGACTTGGGATCCAGGTAAGGAGACGGACTGCACCAGCCTGGGAGGGTGGCGAGGCCTGGGGAATCCTAACCCTGTTCTGTGATTTGAGGAATTGTAGTCTGTCACCAAGGAGGACCAGAGTCCCCTCCGCTCCCCAGGACCTTTTTCTTGTCCTCTCAGTACTAGGGACAGACACAGGCAAGTGCTCTTCTCCTGAGCAGCATCTCCACTCCCAAGAATCTTTTTTAAAAATCTTATGAAAATTTGAATGTTGCCTAGAAACTGTTCACTTGGTAAACAAGTCCTACAGCGTAACAGCAGTTTTGTGCTTGAGAGCGCTGGGCGTTCTTCCAGGAGACCCGGGTTCTACTCCCAGGGCCTCCATGGAGACTCTCAGCTGTCTGTAACTCTAGTCCCAGAGCATCCAACACCTTCTGGCCCCGCAGGGCTCTAGGCATGCCTATGGTACACAGACAACATGCAGGCACACATGTGTCCCTACACATAAAATGACAGCACAGAACAATGACTGAGCCCTTTGCTAGCCAAGTGGTGCACTAGGTGTTCTGTATGATTATCTGATTGGATCCGTGCTGCATGGATGAGGGGCAGCCTTTAAGTCTCGTGTCAAGGCTTCGCAGCTCCAGAGCACACCCCATGCTTTATCCAGCATATCTGGCTGAGGCGAGGCAGTCTAGGGCCATCTCTTACTTACTTGGATGCAAACATATTCCACGCCTTGCCGACGATCACGTCAAGCGGCTTTACCAAGAGCTGGCTATTGCTGACCAGTGCCGCAGACTTCTCATACTTGCCGAAGGCTCGCTGGGTTTTCCACGTGCTGAAAGCATGAAGAGGCTCCAGCCAAGAAGTGTAGAGAGCTGGGTCTTTAAATCCTTCTAGAATTAGAAACGCCATACACATGAGCAAAGTCCCTTTTACGTATGCGTGACGATGTTATAACGAGGCTGGCAAGATGGCTCAGGAAGAGTGCTTGCTGCCCAGCCTGATGACCTGAGTTCAAGTCCTGGTACCCACACGGCGGTAGCAGAGAACTGACACTCCTGCAAGTTGTTCTCTGATTGCCACGTGTGTGCTGGAGCACATGTGTGCATGTTATGTCAAGCACACATGTACACAAGCACAGATACATGCACATGTTAAAAAAAGAAAAACGGGCTGGAGAGATGGCTCAGAGGTTAAGAGCATTGCCTGCTCTTCCTAAGGTCCTGAGTTCAATTCCCAGCAACCACATGGTGGCTCACAACCATCTGTAATAAGGTCTGGTGCCCTCTTCTGACCTTCAGGCATACACACAGACAGAATATTGTATACATAATAAATAAATATAAAAAAAAAGAAAAACACCCAGTAATTCTGAAGAAGGACAGAACAACAGGGAAATTTAAGAGGAGAGGAGAAGCCAAGGAGGCCCTCACTCTAGACTCCAGATAGAGTTTCTGGGCTGGAAGGATAGTCCAGTGCTTAAGTCAAGAAAGAACATTGGCTGCTCTTCCAGAGGACCCAGGTTCAAGTTCAATTCCTGGCACCTATAGAGGTATTCACAACTGTCTGTAATTCCAGTCCTAGGGGATCTGACACCTTCTGGCATCTTTGGGCACTATGCATGCATGCGGTACATAGAAATACATGCAAGCAAAACATAACACATAAAATAAGTAAATGAAATAAAATAAATCAGTACAATTTACAAAATTTGCTGTGAAGATTATCTGTGAAGAGCTCTTTCAGATAGGAATGTTAAACTAGAAATGAAGCTTGAGGCCAAGCGTCTGGCTGTGCTGAGGTATGTCTCTCAGATGTGAACCTGCACTCTGGGATGTCACAAACAAGACCGTAAACTGTGGACGCTCAAAGCATGTCTTAACTCCCTGATCTTGAGTCTTATCAGTTCAGTCTGAGGAGACCCCTTAGGTAAAGTGGATCCTTGGTTTTGTGGGAGAAAATTCTCAGAATGAGCCAGGATGCAGAGCAAGGCTTTATGAAAGATGTTTCTCATATAGAGCTTAAGTACAAGGCTTAACAGAATGAGGTCCTCGGGCAGAGAATAAGAATACTGGGTAGGCAGAGACCAGGGCAGACAGAGAACCACAAATTGTTTCTCACCTCCACACACATGTAGGCTATGTGCACACAACCCCAACACACATTCCCATGCGTGTGGACCCGTAAAAGAGTTGGGCCCCATTGTCTATACAGTACTTTGGTGATTTCTGAAGTTACAGTTTTCAAGAAGTTGTTAAGGAACTTGAATGAGGCCACAGGGTACCCGACAGATTACGGTGGTTAGAGAAACTCCAGATCGCAGGGATGAAGGAGGGTAGGGCATCTTCACTGAAAACAACGATAGGAAGGCCCTAACCTGGTCACCACTCCTTTACTATGCCCGCTCCTGTATAAAATACCGCGTCTGTGCTGACCGTCTCACAGCAAATGCTGGTCATGCAGGAACCCTCAGTTTTGGGGTGGTGAGAGAGGCCCTCTTTCCTTCCTAAGTCCCCAGATTTCCCTCTTCTAGCCAGCCGTACACTTACCTTGTCAGCTCTGACCCACTGTGCACGGGCCCACTGTATATGCTCACTCAGGTCCCTAGGCAACCCTTTGAAATGGGACTTTAGAAGCCACCAAAATTGTACACATCACAGGGCTGAGAGAAGACTCAGTGGGTAAGAGACTAATGTATAAGTGGGGCAGGGATAGGCAAACCCCAGAAGCTTGCCAACCAGCCTGCAGAGCTGAGAGGGTAAGCGTCAGGTTCAGTGAGAGACCCCGTCTCGGAGGAATAAGGCAGGGAGCAGCAACAGATGAAGACACGCTAGGTCCTCTGGTCTCTGCATGTACATGTACGGGCATATGCATCCACACACTCATGGGCACACACCACACACACACACTTAGAAATAAACTCTTAAAATTGTACATATGGGGGCTGGAGAGATGACTCAAGAGATTAACAGCACTGACTATTCTTCCAGAGGTCCTGAGTTCAATTTCCAACAACCACATGGTGACTCACAACCATCTATAATAAGATCTGGTGCCCTCTTCTGGCCTGCAGGGATACATGTAGGCAGAATGCTGTATACATAACTAATAAATAAGCCTTTAAAAAATTGTACATAAGGGCTAGAGAGATGGCTCAGTGGTTAAGAGCACTGACTGCTCTTCCAGAGGTCCTGAGTTCAATTCCCAGCAACCACATGGTGGCTCACAACCATCTGTAATGAGATCTGGTGCCCTCTTCTGGCCTACAGGCAGGATAAATAAATAAACCTTTAAAAAAATTGTACATAAACCTGGCAGTGGTGACACACACCTTTAATCACAGCACTAAGGAGGCAAAGGCAGGTGGAGCTCTGTGAGTTCAATGCCAGCCTGGTCTACAGAATGAGTGTGAGTAGAGCCTCAAAACCCTGTCTTGAAAAAAAAAATGCCGTGGAACATTCTTTTTACACTGCAAATATCTACTACTCTCATTGGTTAGTAAGGAGGTGACTGCCTTATAGCTGGGTAGGAGAACAGACTAGGAGGATGCTGGGAAGAAGGGTGGAGTCTGAGGGAGCTGCAGGGAGAAGTCACCAGAGGCAGAGCAAGCAGGGTGGGAAGTATGCAGATGAGGGAAACAAGCCTTGGGGCAGCACACAGACTAGGAGAAATAAATTAGTTTAAGTTATAAGAACTAGCTAAAAACCTAAGCTATTAGCCAAGCATTTATTAATAATAAATCTCTGTGTGGTTAGCAGGAAAGAAAAGTCTGCCTACAAAAAACTGTACATATGGTATTGTAAAGACTCTCTTGAGAAGCTCACGCCTACATCCTCTCCCTAAATGCCTCTCTTTCTATAAACCCCGGTGCTTAAGCCTATGCTGGTAATGTCTTCTTGAGCCAGCAAGATGGCTCAGCAGGGACACTGGCTCCAAGCCTAACGACTGGATCCGATCTCTGGGACCCACAGAGTGGGCAGAGGATCAACAAATTCTCTGTCTCTCTCTCTCTCTCTCTCTCTCTCTCTCTCTCTCTCTCTCTCTCACACACACACACACACACACACACACACACACACAGTCTTGAAACTCTTCCTATTGAATTCCAAAGTTAAGAATACTGGCTTGGTTGTAAAGATGGCTCAGTGGGTTATGTATTCCACCCCCTAAATTAGGTTGTCTTGTTTTGTTTTTAAAGACAGGATCTCATTATGTAACACTGGATAGCCTGGAACTCATTATGTAGACCAGGGTGCCCTCAAACTCACAGAGATCTGCCTGCTTCTGGGATTAAAGGTGGTTAAAGCTAGAAATGACTAAGTCTGTATTTAGTGTGTGTGGAGTCGGTTCCCTCAGCCACCTTTACAGGAATGAGTTCCAGGTGCCAAATTCAAGTGTGTCAGGCTTATAAGCTAAGTGCCTCTCCCCACCGTATATCCCGACAGTCCCAGAAGTTGTTTTTGAACACTCACGTGACCCGAAACATACGCCTCACTTTTTACCTGGAGTTATGCTTACCCACGTTGGCACTCTGCACATCCTTCCCACGGAGAATGACCAAGTTAGCAATGGAAGTGTTAAAATGAGGATCCTTGTGGGCAGACATTTTGCCAAGAGGTGGAAGGCCTGAGGAAGGAGGCTGCACCTGCCAGTCAATACCTAGCACAAAAGAAAGAGTTTATAAGTAGCTGTGAACAACATGAGAAAAATGTAGATGTTTAGGTTGGGTGTGGTAGCACATGTCTATAAACCCAGTACTTGGCAGGTAATGCAGGAGAATTGGAGTCAGGAGTTTAAGGCCCTTAGAAAATTCACCGCACATTGAGGTATATGTTTGATTGTCTGTTTTTGAAGCAGAGCCACGCTCTGTAGCCTAGAACGCACAATGTAGCCCAGCTTGGTCTGGAACTTCTGCTTTGGTCTCTGAAGTGCCAAGGTTGCGAGGGTTACAGGTAATAGCCACCATGTCCACTTTTTTGGGGGGATGGGGTCTTACTGTGTGGCTCTAGGGTAGCCTCAAACTCACAATCCTCCTGTCTCAACATGCTGAGATTCCAAGCATACACAACCATGTTCAACTTTGAGGCTAGGTATGCAATGACACTTGTAACCTCGCTCTGCCTCTCTTTGTATCTCTCTGCGCCCCCCTTCTCCCCGGGCTCTACCTATTGAGTAGCCCTGGCTGTCCTGGAACTCGCTATGTAGACCAGACTAGCTTCGAACTCGCAGAGATCCGTTTGTCTCTGCCTCCCAGTGCTGGGAGTGAAGGCGTTAGCTATCCTGTCTGGCAGTCTATTCTCTTCAGTCTTTCATTCCCTGTTGGTCTGTTGCTGGGACATGTGGAGATGGACAGTGGTGGTGACAGAAACAGGGCCAGTCTTTATACAGAGCAACCTGATAACACGAACAGTTTGTACCTAGATCCTTCGCCTTGGTTTGTGCCATAAATATGTTTACCCATCTCCTTAGTCATGTATTCAGAAACGGAAACCATTCAGGGCTGGCTATGTGAATCAATGGTAGTAAACTAGCCTAGTGTATGTAACTCTAAAGTCAATCCCTGCACCACAAAAGCGTTTTATATGCTTAAAGTCCATCTATAGCAAACTGAAAAAACAAAAACACAAAATCAAAAACAAACCATTGACACCCTACAGTTCCATTTGGGAAAATGACTAAGCAAACTGCATTTTATTGACCTGAGGGAGCTTAGTGCAGGGCGCCCTTGAAGAGCATTGCTTCATGAGATATTAGCAGGTATTGCTAGGACCACAAGCACTGGGGCCAAAACATTGGAAAACATTTCTTTAATAAATGCTGTCTCTCCAAACTCTGGCACTGCCATCCAAAACACATGCGCTGTTTGGAGCAGAGAAAAAGAAAATCTATCTGTTAATTTACATTTCTCTATAGTACCTGCTGCTAAATTCCATCCAGTGATTACACTGGCTATGGTCTCTCCCACTCCCATTTTCACAACAAAGGATGTCTTCACAGGAAAAGAGCAGCAGATGAGAAGACAGCATCAGGATAACTTTGGTTGCTGACTGAGCAACCAGGACGGTTGTAGAAGTCCTGGGAGCAAGACAGACATTTCTAAAAGAACAGGGGCATTTCTGCTCTGAGAAAGCTAAACCACCGAGGCCAGCTTCCGTCTCTAGGCCCAGTCATGCCTAACATCCTATGGGAAACTGGGTCACTGTGTGGAAGCTCCACCTACCCCAACTCTGAGAAGACTGCAGTCTGGACAGTGATTTGAACCCAAGACCTTGTGCCTGCTTCACCAATGTTCTACCACCAACCTACAGCTGAGTCCGCATGCGTTATCTGATGCTGCCTTGAGATTCCTCTCATCAACATAGAGGACATACACAAGGGCAGGGAAGTTTCCCTGTGATGTATGTAGTACATGTCAGCATGTGCACAGGTGCACATTTGAGGGAAGGTCAGAGAGGGCATCTGGTGCCCTCCTCCATCCCTCTCCTCCTGTCCCCCAGGTTGGGGCAAGACCCAGCAATTCTCTTGTCTCTGCTCCTCTCAGGGCTGGGGCTAGAGGCATGAGTAGGAGGGCCTACTGTGGACACCAGGTCCTAAACCATGGTCCTCACGACCGCACAGCGAGCCCTCTTAGCCACTGAGAATAGATCCAGCCTGGTTTTGTTTGTTTTGTTTTGAGACAGAGGTATTGCCACACCCCCAACCCTTTCTAGCTTTTATTTACCTAATTTTTCCTTCTCTATCGATAAGAGCGCTATGAAGTATATAAAATGTTATCTGAATTTCTCAGTGTGTTAAGCAGGTCACTAGCTTGTGGAGATATTACTTGTCAATGTTACTCCTTGTCAAGGAACCAATCTTTGAAGTTTTGTCCCTAGGACTACAGTTAAAAAAGTAAATGAGACTTTTCTTTTTTGTTTTTTTGAGACAAGTTTTCTCTCTGAAATGGTCCTAGCTGTCCTAGAACTCATTCTGTAGACCGTGCTGGCCTTGAACTCACAGAGATCCGAGTATGCCACCACTGTCTGGCTGAATGTGACTTCTTAACAACGACACTATAAAGAGAGAAGACGCTCCAGGCAGTAGTGACACACACCGATAACCCCAGCACTCGGGAGGCAAAGGCAAGTGAATCTCTGAGTTCCAGACCAGCATGGGCTACAGAGTGAGTTCCAGGACAGCCAGGGCTACACAAAGAAACCCTGTCTCAAGAAACCAAGAAAAGAAGTGAAGATGTTGGACTAATGCCTATAAAGTGCTGAGTGTGGACTTGGGCTGGAGCGATGGCTCAGTGGTTAGGAGCACTTATTGTTCTTGCAGAGGACCTGGGTTCAGCTCCCAGCACCTGCACAGTTGGCTACGACCATCTGTAACTCTGATTTCAGGGGGATATGTTGCTGTCTTCTCACTTTAACTGGTACTGCATACACATGTTACACATACACATATACAAGCAAACATTCATACACATAATCTAAACATATATAAATGAAAAGTTAGAATACTGGGTGAAGCTGGACCTAGCAGCAGTGACAGAGGCCTATAATCCCAACCACTGAGAAGCTGAGGCAGGAGGATCCCAAATCCACATTTTTACTAGGCTATAGAATGAGCTCAAAGCCATCCTGGGCAACTTAAGGAGAGCCTATCTCAAAGTAACAAAAGAAGGACTGGGGATGTATCTTTAGTAGAGTATTTATTTATTGCTGACAAGGCCCAGGGTTCAGTTCTCAGCACTGAAAAGGAAAATAGTTAGAAAAATGATTCTTAGGCCGTAGCGGCGATGTATTCCTTAAACCCCACTGCTCAGGAGGCTGAAGCAGATGGACCTCTGTGAGTTCAGGCCAGCCTGTTTTGATCTATGTAGTGAGTTCCAGGACAGCCAGGGCTACACAGAGAAACCCTGCCACAAACAAACAAACAAAACCAAAGGAAACATTAATTTTTCTACAGGGGAAAATAAATAATACATGAAATAAAGAGTGGCCTGTGAACACAGCACACAGATCAACTGTTAGTAATATTTATACTAAAGGCTGATGGAAAGTATGTTATAGTTAGGTGATAAGAGAAAGAAGAATGTATTGCCAGGCTACAAACACCAAAACTACACAGAGAAATCCTGTCTCAAAAGACAAAAAAAAAAAAAAAAAAAGTGAGTGATGATTTTGTGTGTGTGTGCGCGCGTGAGCGCACGTGCATGTGTGCAAAGAGGATATAAGAAGATTCAATTAGCAGTTTTTATATTAGGAACAAATGGATGAGCAGGGTGGCACTTGGGAGGCTCAGGCAGGAAGATCACACTGTGTGTTCCAGGCCACCAAGATGGACATGGCAAGACACTGTCACAGAAAGGTATAAAGAAAGCTGAGCACAGTGGTGCACACTTATAATCTTGTAATCCCAACAGGAAGGTGGAAGCAGGAGGATCGAGAACTCAAGACCAGCCACAGCAGAGTTTGAGGCCATCCCATAATACATGAGACCATGTCTCAAAAAAACAAAACCAGAAACACAAAAAGACGGACCATTGAATAAAACCCTTGCCACCCAAGTGTGAGGACTGGAGTCCAGATTCCAGCACCCATATGGAAGCAGGGTCAGCATGCAGGGCTGCCTGCAATGCCAGCATTGGGGAGACAGAGGCAAGCTGGCTAATCCTAGCCGAACTGTGAGTCCTGGGCTCAGCATGAGATCTCGCTTCGGTGAATGACTGTGCAGGATACCTGATGTCAACCATGTGAACTAGCACTAGCCTCTACATGCATGGATACACATACATGTGAACCCCCCCCCACATACATGCTCACCACACATAACATGCACATACAGAAATTTTTTTTCTTAAATATTTATTTTATTTATTATGTATACAATATTCTGTCTGTGTGTATGTCTGCAGGCCAGAAGAGGGCACCAGACCTAGTTACAGATGGTTGTGAGCCACTATGTGGTTGCCGGGAATTGAACTCAGGACCTTTGGAAGAGCAGGCAATGAATGCTCTTAACCTCTGAGCCATCTCTCCAGCCCTGGGGCTGAGAAATAAACTCTTAAAATTGTACATATGGGGGCTGGAGACACATACATGTGTCTTTAGTGCGACTAGGATCAAATGCAGGACCTCCCACATGCAAAAGCTCTGCTTGGAGCCGGAGTGACTTAGTGGCTGCTCTTCCAGAGGATCCAGCTTCTATTCCCAGCATCCATGGCCCACAACTCTCTGTAACTCTGATCCCCGGGAATCTAAGGCCCTCTTCTGGCCTCCACAGGCACCAAGCATGTATGTGCAGATATACATGCAGGCAAAACAATCATGCATATAAAATAAATAAAAATTTTAAAATTGTACTACCATCAGGCTTAAGTGAATTTTAATAACACAATTGCTTGGTTTTTGTTTTTTGTTCTCAAGACAGGGTTTCTCTGTGTAACCTCCTGAGATGTCCTGGAACTCGCTTGTGTACCAGGCTGGCCTTGAATTTACAGAAAACCACTTGCTTCAGCCTTCCTAGTGCTGGGATTAAAGGCGTGTATGCCACCACTACTGGGTTATTACTTGGCTTTTTTTTTCTTTTAAAGATTTATTTATTATGTACACAGTGTTCAGCCTCCATGTATGCCTGTAGGCCAGAAGAGGGCACCAGATCTCATTATAGATGGTTATTAGCCACCATGGGGTTGCTGGGAATTGAACTCAGGACCTCCGGAAGAACAGCCAGTGCTCTTAACCACTGAGCCATCTCTCCAGCCCTATTACTTGGCTTTTTAAAATAATTAAAATAATTTATTTGCTTGTGTGTGAGTCTGTGTTTGTGCATGTGGGCACATGCTCATGTGTGCCACAGGGCACGTGTGGAGGTCAGAGGATAACTTGTAGAGTTGGTTCTTTCCTTCCCCCATGTGGGTCCTCAGGTTGGATCCAAGCACCTTTACCCTGGAGCCACCTCATGGGGGCGTGATCTTTTTCTTTTGAGGCAGGGTCTAATATACTCTAGGCTGACCTGGAACTAGCTATGGAGTGGAATCAGGCCTTGAATTTCTGATCTTCCCGATTCTACCTCTAGAGTGTTGGGATTACAGGCATGTACTTCTGCCCCTGATTTTTATGGGGCTAAGGACTGAACATGTTATATGTTAGGCAAGCACTCTTCCATCTGAGCTATAGTTCCAGCCCCTAACTACTTGATTTTTTAAAGCTACATTCAGATATTACTTTGATTAAAATAAAGATTTGAAATAACATGACACTTGTCTTAAATGTCCTTTTGAAGTGAAACTGAAAGGCCATCAAGAAGCCCTCCTCAAAATGTCCCTGGAGTTTCTGAAGAAGGCCCCTTGGCTATAAGAAGGGGCCTTTATTTCAACCAGCCCAAGTTTATACTCAGGGCTCCAGGACAGGCGCCTTCCCAGTATGTGGGTTGTCTATTTTTAAAATATCCCTTTACCTTCTTCCATTTTCGCACTGGAAATAAGCATCTGTCGTAAATGCTTGAGGAGGCCGGCCCAGGTAAATGTGCTGTACGCCAGAGAGTTCTCAGACATCTGTGGAATGTTACGGACACTCAGCATTTTAAATTCAGGGTGGGGAACTAAATGTTCCATTAAGTCTCCTGTGAGAAAACAAAACAAAAATGTGAACTAAATTTACTTCATCCATAGTGGGGCATTTTACAGAACCGTGACTTGATGATGTTCTGAGTCAAATATGTCTTTTTCATCTCCAGAATTACTAAAATAATACAATGATGAATTTTCAGAGACTATGTCTGATACAAACTACTTATTATTATTATTAATAATAGTAGTAGTAGTAGATGCAGGGCCTCACTGTGGAGCCCTGAATGACCTAGATATCTCTTTATAGATCAGGCTTGTCTTGAGCTCACAGAGATCCTTCTGCCTCTGCCTCTGGAATGCTGGGATTAAAGAGTGTACTATCATGCCCAGATCTTTGCTTCATTTTACATGGCTGAAAAAGCACACTTACAAGGGGTGTGGGTATGGTGGCTCACACTTGTAATCCCAGTACTTAGGAGGCAGAGGCAGAAGAATGGCCCACAAGTTCCAGGGCAGCCCAAGGGCTTACATTGTAAGATTCAGGCTCAAAACATAAACAGATATCCAGACATGGTTGTGTACACCTTTAATTCCAGCACTCAGGAGGGAGAGGCAGACAGATTTCTATAAGTTAAAATAAGGCTAGTCTTGTCTCCATAGTGAGTTTCAGGACAGCCAGAGCCACATAGTGAGACCCTGCCTCAAAGAAAGAAGATGGGATGAAGAGAGAAAAGGAGGGAAGGAGGGAGAACAGAAGGAAAGAGAGAGAGAGAAACACCCTACACTTTGCCAAAAGACATATGAATAGAGACAAGAGTGACTAATCACGAAGCTATGAGAGCTAATTTGCTTTTCTTGTCAGCCTATATTAACTAAAGTTCCTTAGATCATGTTCCAGATCTTGTATTTATCTAGCTAAATGACAATCAAACCTGTTTGGGAGACAGACACATAGTTTTGTGTTAGAAAGCCACCAAACAGACCTTCCCGGTGTAATGATCTGTCCTGTGCCTTTAAGAGAGAAGCCCCACCCACTCCCTGCAGCATTTTACCATAACATTTGGTGCCACGACTCGGTTTGGCACCAAATGTTATGATAAAACTAAAATGGTGCCAGTGCTGTTCCCTGAGAGGCGGCAGCGGGCCACAAGACCATGGCGGGCCATGAAGGCAGCCAGTCCCAGGCAGTAAGCAGCGGCAGCGGCGTGGCAGGCGAGCCTCAGCAGGGCAGCTAGTCCCATGTGGAGCGGAGAAAGTGGGTATTTATTTAGTGGGTTACGGAAGGGAAGGGGGAAGGGGAGAGGGAGGGAGAAGGGGGACGAGGATTGAGGAGAGAGAGAAGGAAAGAGAGGCAGAGAGAAAGAGAGAGGGAGAGAGAGAAAGAGAACCAGAGAGAGAGAAAGAGAGAGAGGAAAGGGGGAAGGGGAGAAGTGGGGAGAAAGGAGTGAGGCAGAAGCTGTGTCTTTGGAGGAGAGATGGAAAAAGAGAGGCTGGAAGTGGAAGGAAGATCCGCTTGCCTGGAGGGGTGGGTGGGAGGGGCTTGTTTCTTAAAGGGACAGAATAGACCATGACACCCAGGATGAGGCAAGCCTGGTTTAGTTGCTCCAGAGACTAAGGCAAAAGACCAGGAGGATCTTGTGAGCCCAGGAGTTCAAGACTAGCCAGCCAACAGAGCAAGATCCAGAATAGCCAGAAGAGCGAACAGGTCGCAACAACCTGTGATTCATGCCTTTTGGGGTCCGTGTCCCATCCCCCATTAAGTCACCTCTCTAGCTCTCTAGGCAGGCAGCTCTCTGACTCTGACTTAGCCTAGCAACCCTTGGACCTGATTGAGACCCTTATCCACTGATTTCCTCCCTTCTCAGACAGCCTGTCTTCCTCTTTCTGGCAAATTCCTAATCTTGGGCCAGTTACTCCCCACCTTTCCTATGAGAGCACTATAAGATATGACACCACATGGCAGCCTGGAAGCTCTGACTTTTTCTCCCCTCTGTCTCTGTCTCTGTCTTGCACGTATGTATACAGTGTTCTACCTGCATGTCAGAAGAGGGCACGAGATCTCCAGAGAGAACCCAGGCCCTCTGGAAGAACAGTCAGTGCGGTTAGCCTCTGAGCCATCTCTCCAGCCCTGAATTTTCTTTCTTTTCTCATCCTCATCTTCCTACTATTCCTTCCCGCCCCCTTCATTACTGAAAGGAGCAAGGATGCTTTATCCAAACAAAATGACAGTACAGGTCAGAGAACACTGTCAAGAGTAGCAGCAAACCCTCTTCTGGGTTCTCAATCCTTAAACATAATGCCAATTCCCATTAGAACCCCACATTGATTCTTTTTTTTTAATATATTATATGTATGGATGCTTTTTCTGCATGTATGTATGTGTGCCATGTGCATGCCTGGTTCACCAGGGGTTAGAAGAAGGAGCCAGATCTCCATGACCTAGAGTTATGGATGGTTGTGAACCACTGTAAGTGCTGGGAACAGAACCTGGGTCCTCTGCAAGAACAAGTGTTCTTAACCACTAAGTCGTCTTCCCAGCCCAACCACATGAGTTCCCTGAACCCCAGATCTATACACTTTTTATCTGCTGGATGTAGCTCAGTGGTGTAACACTTGCTTAGTGTGTGTAACAGCGTAGCCTCTATCCCCAGCTGTGTAAAACGTGCATTTCCACCCAGTGAATATTTTATCAAGTGCTCACTATTTCTCTTTCGCTATTTCTAGATCCTGGGAGAATAGCGGTTACACAGACGGTGTGGTCAGCGGGGAGCACCTAGCTCAGTGGTTCTCAACCTCCTAATACTGCAGCCCTTTAATACAGCTCCTCATGTTGTGGGGACCCCCAACCATAAAGTTATTTGTGTTGCTACTTCATAACCTTAATTTTGCTACTGTTATGAATGGTAATGTAAATATCTATATTTTCTGATGGCCTTAGGTGACCCCTGTGAAAGGGTCATTCAACCTCCAAAGGGATCTTGACCCACAAGTTGAGAACCACTGACCTAGAATTCACATTGTATGCTTTTGAGAAATTTTTGAGAAATTTAGTAACTTTTTTGAGATTTTCAGTAAGACAGTTCAGAGATGAAGGCGGGCCTGAAGACAGATTTTTGGGTGTATCTTGGCAGTAGCTCTAGGTAAAGGGGAGGAGACAGTGAAAATAACTTTGGGACTTTCAGAACATACGGTTTTCTACAGATCGCAGAGGGGTCGGGTACCTAGTGGATTTCTGCGGTAGTGAAATGAGCCGTCCTCAGAGTACGTGGGCTGGAACACACTCCCCAGCTGGTGAGCAAGAACTTGATTGAGGTCTCTGAAGGAGATCTGCTTGATGTTCATCCGTCTGGCACAGATCTTGTGGACAGCGTCATTTTCATGGATGAGGAGGGCATCTGAGGACCGGTACAAGTGAGAGAGCGTCAAGATGGAGTTGTAATTCTGCAGGATAACCTGGAGAGAGAGGGGTCAGAGACAGGACAGGGGAGGTGAATGACGAAGACCAGAGACTCCAGCTGTGAGTGGTGGCGCACTTGGGAAGCAGAGGCAGGCAGGTCTCTCAGTCTGGGGCCAGCCTGGTCTACATACTGAGTTTCAGGACGGCCAGGGCTACACAGTGAGACCCCGTGTTAACACAGTAACAACAACAGAAACAAAAGGGTGTAGATTCCAAAGGCACCCTGCCTGGCTTCAAGGTCTGCTACTTTTCAGCAGCATGGCTTTGAGGTTATTTAATCCCTCTGGGCATTACTTTCCTCATGTGTAAGATGGGGATGGAAATATCTGCCTCTGAAAGATGCAGGATATAATGCAAGTAGAGCATGCACTAAGGCCAGGCATGGTGCACACCTTTAATTCTGGCGCTCAGGAGGCAGAGGCAGGTGGATCTCTGAGTTCCAGGACAGCTAGGGCTACACAGAGAAACTCTGCCTCAAAAAACAAACAAACAGGGCTGGAGAGATGGCTCAGAGGTTAAGAACATTGACTGCTCTTCCAAAGGTCCTGAGTTCATTTCCCAGCAACCACATGGTGGCTCACAACCATCTATAATGAGATCTGGTGCCCTCTTCTGGCTTGCAGGCAATTCAGACAGAACACTGTATACATAATAAATAAAACAAACAAACAAACAAATTTGTCTCAATAGAAAGAAATTAAGATAATTTACTTAAATAAATTAAAATTTGAAGGCTAGCCACAATACCATGAACCCCAATATGAGTTAGTTTAAGGTCCCCCCTTGCAGCACCAGAAGGACCAACTCAAAAAATGGGCTCCCGAAAGATGTGCAGTCATCTTTGAAATTCCTTGTTGTTATTCCTACTACCACCTGGTGTTGGGGATAGAATCCGGGACTGGAAACGAGCTAAGCACATGCTCTAATGAGTTATATCACTGGCCATCTTTGATTTTTTTTTTATTATATAGCTTTGGCTGTCCTGGAGTTCTAGATATAGGCCAGGGAACCCACAGAGACCCACCTGTCTCTGCCTCCTGAGAACTGGGGTTAAAAGAAAAGACACCTCAGCTATACATGGTGGCACATGCCTGTTGCTGGACTGGGTGGATGGGTCTTAGCTGGAAGTCAGTCTGAACTGCAATTAAGACTGTCTCAAAAAACCTAAGACCATAATGAAACAGAAAGACTTAAAAACAAAGAATAATTCATATATTTGGGGAAATTTAACCAAAATTAAATGAATTATTCACATAAATTGAACTCAGTAGTTCCAAAAAAGTAAGATCCATTATTTATCCATGTTCACTTTAAGATCAAAGAATTAAGGGACGAGGGAAATGGCTCAGTGGTCAAGGACTGGGTTCTCTTCCAGACGACCAGGATTTGATTCCCAGCACCCACATGGCAGCTCACAGCTACCGAACTCCCCCAGTCCTTGGGGATCTGACACCACATGGTGCATAGACATACATTCATATAAATACTTATATACATAAAATAAAAATAAAATTTAAAAACACATACTATGATTTAATTATTCTACTATTAAGTATTTATCAAAGAGAAATGGCATATGACCATACCAGAGTCCTAATTGTGCCTTGATTAAACAAACAAACAAACAAAAAGAACAAAGACTATACAACATAAAACATTTGATTAGAGGCTGGAGAAATAGTTCAATGGTTAAGGGTGCTGGCTTGTCTTCCAAAGGACCTGGTTTGGTTCCCAGCACCTTCATGGTGGCTCACAACCTTATGACCCCAATACCAGAACTCTTACACCCTCTACCAGCCTCCTTGAGAACTAGGCATGTATTTGTGCACATACATACAAACAAGCAAAACACTCATGAAATAAATACATAACTTTTAATTAACATGTTCATACCTCACCAGTTCCATAAGGCCATATAATCTGATTCATTTTCAAGGAACTGGGGTACTGATCTTGTAACTTCTGTGTAACGAAGGCTCCCAGCCCTGATCCTGTTCCCCCAGCCATACTCATTATGATGAAAAATCCACTCAGAGAGTCACATTTCTCCACCTCCTTCTGGATTAAGTTCATTATAGATTCTTCATGCTTTGGTCCATGCACAGAGTAGCTAAGCCACAGCAGAAGGAACAAACATGGCACCCGTCAGTTTAACCAATGGGATGTGGTACAACAGAGTAAGGTCATTTAGGAGACAGAGGTCTTTTCAAAGCTACGGGACTGAGGCCCTGATTGACAACATTTAATAGAGACAGATTAAACATATTCAACAGGTGAATAGAGTGGCTATATGTGTGTGTGTTGTTGTTGTTATGTGTGTGTGTTTTTCAAAACAGGGTTTCTCTGTGTAGCAGCCCTGGCTGTCCTAGAACTTGTTCCATAGAACAGACTGGCCTCAAACACAGAGATCCTCTGCCTCCCAAATGCTGCAATTAAAGGCATGCACCACTACCACCTGGCTGAAAGTTCTTTTTAATTTGAGAACAATGGAATTATTTTCCTTACTGTTATTAATATCATCGTATGTGTGTTCTGCGTGTGAGTGTGTGAATGTGGGCCATGGTGCATGTATGGAGACCAGAAGACAACTCCATGGGATCTATCTGTCCTTCTACCATGACTGAGCTCAGGTCCTCGGGCTCGGCAGCCATTGTCCTTCCCTCCTGAGTCACCCTCCGGCCTCACCTATGTTGTGAGAGCAGCCCAGGAACTCAAGTTCCTGCTTCAGCCTCCCAACGCTGGGATTATCTGGCCCTCTGGAAATTCTACAGCACAGCAAAACTGAGGAACTACTGCCTTGTACCAGCTTTAGAGCTGGAAGCCTGCGAGGTAAGGCCACTGCCCGATCCAAGTGTGCAGCGGGATAAGAAGGAGACTGCCAGGACCTTGGCTTCAACAATGACCTTGACCTGAGCACAGGCACGCAGAGAGTAAGAGTTTTTAATGAGATCAAATTCTGAATACTTATTTATTTACTGGTGGTAATGGAAGTTGGTCCTAGTGCCTCAAAAACACCAGGCGAGGGTTCTATTGTTGAACTATATCCTTGGCCCCTTTGCTTATATACTTTTAATTTTGATCTTCCTTTCTTCCTTCTTTTCTCTCTCTCTTTCTTTCTCTCTCTCTCTTTCTTTCTTTCTTTTCTGCAGGGTTTCTCTGCAGCTTTGGAGCCTGTCCTGGAACTAGTTCTTGTAGACTAGGCTGGTCTTGAACTGACAAAGATCCACCTGCCTCTATCTCCTGAGTGCTGGGACTAAAGGTGTGTGCCACTACTGTCCGGCCCAGAAAGTCTTGGTTTTTGGGTTTTTTTTTTCCACTTTTCTTTTTCTTCTTTTTCTTTTCTTTTCTTTTTTTCTTTTTGTTTGTTTTTGTTTTTTCGAGATAGGGTTTCTCTATGTAATAGCTCCGGCTGTTCTTACTTTTAATTTTGAGACAGGAGTTTTGCTAAATTGCAAAAATAGCTCAGGCAGACATTAAACTTGAGATCCTCTTGCCTCAGCTTGCTAATTAGCTGGGGTTATAGGCTTGCATCATCAGTTCTGACACATTCAAAATTGTAAATTTTTTATGACGTATATTTATATTATGCACCTGTGTCATAGCGCATGTGTGGATGTCAGAAGGAGTCAGGTGTCTCCTTATTACTATGTGTGTTCTGGGAACTGAACGGAGTTTATCAGGTTTGGCAGGGGTGTCTTTACCCTGAGTCATTTCCCTGGCCTAAATTCTTAATTTTATTTTAGTTTTGCTTTGAGACAAGATTTGACTAGGTAGCCTTGGGTGGCCTATGAAGTGGTTTGAAGAAGAATGGCTCCCTTGGGCTCAAACATTTGGATGCTTAGTCATCAGGGCGTGGCGCTACTTGAGAAGCATTAGGAGCTGGAGCCTTGTGGCAGGAAGTGTGGCCTTGTTGGAGGTTTGAGGTTTCAAAAGCCCAAGCAAGGTCCTGTGTCTCTCTCTTCCTGCTGCCTCTGGATCCAGATGTAGAATCTCAGCTACTTCTCCAGCACCACGTCTGCCTGCATGCTGTCATGTTCCCCACCATGACGATAATGGACTAAACCTCTGAAACTGTAAGCCAGGCAATTAAATGTTGTGTCGACTGCAACTGGACAGCTGTACCTTCCCTGACGTCATGAGGCGTTGCTCTTACCCATACGCCCAGTTGTTCCCGGATCCTTGTCTCTGACAAAAGCACGCGTGCTGACCGTATGTCCACCGGCCAGACCGGGCAGCTCTGGACAGCGTTTGATTGATCACCTTAGGTTCCATGTCAACAAGAACAGCCCGGGCAACTGGAACTAGAGTAGGGAAAAGGGGGAAATCGTGTGTTGTATGTTAGTACCACAGAGCACACACTAAGTCCCTGAACGGTATTGCCAGTCCTAGATTCAGTTGTTTGTGCTTTTGTTGTGCTTTGTTTTAATTCAGGGGCTGCAGGTAGAGTTCTTGCATAGCCTGCTGAGGTCATGGGGTGGGGAAAGAAAAGCAAAGGCCTTCCCTAGAGGGCTGGAAGGGATGGGCTTAGATACTTTCAAGATGTTCAAGGGAGGGTAAGGAGAGGACTGTGGACCACACCTACCTCCATTTTCTTCCTCTCTGAAAAATCTTTCTTTGCAGGAGGCTTGATATGCCTCATTTTCTCTCTTAGAGCAGAGTCCCTGGGAACAGTGTGAGTCTCTAAATAAAGCATCAAACACTTCAAAGCCAATCTGGTTGCCACACTGTCCAAGCTGCACTGTTACTATTGACATCCCCAGCCACAGACTAGGCCCAGTCGAAAACACAAGGGAATGGATAACCTGCAAAAAGACACAGACATAAGAAACCACCATATTACCAACAAGAGCAAGCAATTCGCCATGTGCTCATGAGACAGATGGAAGGGGCTGGAGGGAGGCTCAGTGGTTAAGGCACTTGCTCCTACTGCACAAGACCCAGGTTTGGGTCCCAGCACCTACACTGCTGCCTGTAGCTGCAGTTCTAGGGGCTCCAATGCCCCCTGTTGGCCTTCCCAGACATTGCATACACATGGTACACATACAGATACATAGGTATTCACATACAATATAAAGATAAATAAAATTTTTAGAAAATTAAAAATATGTGTACATGGGGACTGGAGAGATGACTCAGATGTTAAGACAATTGGCTCCTCTTTCAGAGGTCCCTAGTTCACTTCCCAGCAATCACACGGTGGCTCCTCACAACCATCCACAATGAGATCTGGTCCCCTCCTATGACATACAGGTATACATGTAGGCAGAAAGCTGTATACATAATAAATAAATAAATCAGCCAGGTGGTAGTATGCTTGTCTTTAATTCTAGTACTTGGGAGGCAGAGGCATGAATCCCTAAGTTTGAGGCCAGCCCAGTCTATATAACGTCAATTCCAGGACAGCCAGGACTACTCAAAAAAAAAAAAAAAAAAAAAAAGAAAGAAAGAAAAAGAAAAAAGAAAAACATATATATGTACATTAACAAGTAACTTTTTGTCTGGGCCTGGACCTTTAATTCTAGCACTCAGAAAGCAGAGGCATGTAGAGTTTTGTTAGTTCCAGGTCAGCTCATGAGACTGTCTAAAATGTGTTTGTGTGTTTATACATTTGTTTTTGAGACAGGTCTCATGACATAGCTCCGGCTGGCCTGGCTTTGAATCCACAGAGATCAGTTTGCTTCTATCTCTGGAGTGCTGGGATTAAAGGCACGCAGCACCATGCTCGGCAATCTAGGATTCTTACTTTGCCATCAAAAAGCACTTCAGAAAGAGGCGAAGGAAATCAGTGTTGATGTTTATTAAGAAGGGATTTTAGCGGATTTAAGTAACGGTGTTGATGGAAAGAGAGGCACTTAAGAAAAGGATATTGCATCCCCAGTGTGGGGCGTGGACTGCTCAAGAAGGAATCACATTAAATAGCCATAACTTAGCCATAACTGCGTATGTTAATGTGCTTTCGTTATTTTTTTACTTACCTTTTATTTATTTATAGAGACAGGGCCTCACTGTGTGGCTCTGGCTGTCCTGGAATTCACTATGTAGACCAGGCTAGCCTCAAACTCATAGAGATCCACCTACCTCTCTCTCCTGAGTGCTGTAAATTTGTTTGTTTATTTGTTTTGACACAAGGTTTCTCTGTGAAACAGTTTTGGCTATCATGGAACTAGCTCTGGAGAGCAGGCTGGCCTTGAACTCACAGAGATCCGCTTGCATCTGCCTCCCGAGTGCTGGGATTAAAAGCGTGTGTCACCATTGTCCGGCTGTAAATTTATTTATTTGGTTTTTCTTTTCTTTTCTTTTCTTTCTTTCTTTCTATCTTTTTTCTTTTTCTTTTCTTTTCTTTTTTTCTTTTTGAGACAGGGTTTCTCTGTAGCTTTGGAGCCTGTCCTGGAACTAGCTCTTGTAGACCAGGTTGGCCTCGAACTCACAGAGATCCGCCTGCCTCTGCCTCCCGAGTGCTGGGATTAAAGGCGTGCGCCACCACTGCCCATCTGTGACTTTATTCTTAATGAGAATATTTTAGGGCTGCCTGTATGTCTATCAACTACATGTGATGCTGGGAACCGAACCTGGATCCTCTGCAAGAACAGCAAATTCTCCTAACTGCTGAGGCCTCTCTTCAGCTGGATTTTATTGTCTTCTAGGATTGCACGGTCCAGACTTTCTAAGAGAATTATTTTTCTTTCCCTCTCTTTTGGTTCCTAGTGTGCACTGGCGAGGACGACAGGCTGCTAAGGTAAAACAGTACAGCACAAAGGCTGTGCTAAGGCTGCACCGGAGACTCGTATAATCTTAGGCCTTACACATGGCTCCTTACTATTTTAACGTTCTTACTTGAGATAGCTCTAAATAAAATGAATATTGTCTCTACATCGGCAACTTGCACAGAGATTTTTGCTAATTCTGTGCATGTATGCGGCTCTTGTTTTCTGTGGGGTTTGAGGCCGGGTCACTCTCTGGTTGCTTGCAGCTGTGGATCTGGCAAGGTGGCCTGTGAGTCCCCATCTTTACACAGGAGTGCTGAGATTACAGATGTGTGCTACTGCACCTGGCTTAAAATAGGTTCTGAGATTTGAACTCACATCCTCACACTTATACAGCAAATGCTTCACCCCCGCGCCATTTCCCTGTCCCCTGTGCTGCAATCTTGACCTTCAGGTGCTGAGACCTCACTAGATTCTGGGGTAAAGTATCCCATTCTTGACCTTCCCATGTTCATAATTTTTCCTATCTTTCTATCCTGTCTCCATCTAAGAATCTAGTCATTTAAAGACATCCTCTTACATTATATAATTTTGCGGGAACCTAGGGTACTCAAATTCATTCACACATAGATCAATAGTTTCCAAATATGATTTGTACTCACTGTTTTCCCCAAGTATGGTTTTAAGAAACCAAACCAAAACAAAATGTTGGTTGAGGGGGATGTGTAATCATGAGAACCGGAGTTCAGATGTGAGCATCCACACAACCAACCCAGTGTCCCGTGCAGGCCTGTAGTTCCAGGTCCAGGCAGGTGCAGGCAGAAAGACCCCTGGGGATGGCTTCCAGTTTGCCTGAGAAGCTGAAGCCCCAGGTTCAGAGAGGGAGGGAGGGATGGGGGTGGGCAAGAAAGGGGAGAGAGAGAGAGAGAGAGAAAGAGAGAGAGAGACTTTCTCAAAGGCATATGTGAGGAGTAATAAAGGGAATACTGTGATAACCAACTGGATGCCCTCTTCTCTGCATTTGCATAAGTGCTCAGATCTACACGCATGTGCACATACACTCTCACACATAAATTATCTAAAGTTAATATAATGTTGATTGAAGGAATTCTTTGTATTCACTTCACACCACATGGACACTGGAAGTTAGCTTAACAGAACATCCATCGAACATTAATTTTCTGTCTTCCTGACTTATTCTTTTTCCACAAGGCAGCTTCTGGCCTGGTAAGTACAATTAAGATCAGTAAGGAATGTTTTGTCTAATTCCAGTATTAAAACAAAGTTGGAGCCGGGCATAATGGCACATGCTTTTAATTCCAGCACTTGGGAATCAGAGACAAGCGGATCTCTGTGAGTTCAAGGTCAGCCTGGTCTAGAGTGAGTTCCAGCAGATTCTGGGCTACATAGTGAGACCTGGCTTCGGAAAAAAAAAAACAAAAACAAAGTTGGAGCTTAGAATAAGGCCAGATAAAATAATAAAGTAAGTCTTATTAGTTTCATACAACAAAAGAGCATTCTTTGTTTTGAGACGGGGTCCCCCCCATGTAGCCCAATCAGATCTGGACTGGCTATTTAGTCTAAGCAGGGTTCAAGCAGACTCCCTGAGAGCAGGGATTATAGGTGTGCGCCACTATGCCCGGCAAAAGAGTGTTTTTGATAAATGCATCAATCCTATGTAGCCCTGGAAATGAGCAGAGGCTAGCAGACCAGATTTTCAACTTAACGGCAAAGCCTGCGTTGTAGGTAATACTATTCTCATTTTACAGATAAGAAAATTGAGTTACCAAAGGGTTATGAAACTTTCCAAAGCCACTGAATTAGCAAATAGCAAGGCCAAGACGTTCTCTTTGCCTTTCTGCCCTATCAGCTCCCCATTAGCCCCACACTCACTGACAGCTCTCCGACCCGCAGTTTCAGTTCGGTTCAAACTTCAGAAGACCAACCCTCTCACTCAGCGCATGCTCACTTCAAATACTTCTTAAAAGAACTACCGAGAATGAATTAATGCGCATGCTCCTTATACAAATCGCTCTGCTGAGGCTTTTTTTTCTCTTTCCCCCTATTTAGAATAGTTAATCACGCATGTTCAATTTTAATTCATGAATTTCAGATATGGTACGCATGCTCGGTGTCCAGTAAAACGCCTTAGACAGTAACGCGCATGCTCCACTTTCCGGGCTTGGCTTCGGTTGGTGATCTGCGCATGTTTCTGCCAGTACCTGGAGCCGGGAGATAGTGCTACGCATGTCCGCTGCCCACAGTTGGCTTCACAGACCCTTGTACGCATGCTCCGGGACTGAACTTGAGGAGCCAGTCTGGGGCCTAGGCGCAGACGCATTGAGCTTAAGCAGCTGGTGATGGCGGCAGCAGCAGTGGAGTCTGCGGCGGGTCCGGGCCCATGAGGCGACGACGGAGGCGGGACGGCTTTTACCCAGCGCCTGACTTCCGAGACAGGGAAGCTGAGGACATGGCAGGAGTGTTTGACATAGACCTGGACCAGCCAGAGGACGCAGGCTCTGAGGATGAGCTGGAGGAGGGGGTGAGGCCCGGGGTCCCCGGGGATGTGGCGCGGGGTGCGGTGGGGGGGAACTGGGACGACGAGGTGACAGGGCCGGGGTGGCGGCGTGGGCCCGGGAAGCCTGGTGTGTTCTAGGGCGCGGAGACCCGGGGGAACGCGAGCGGTCTCCGGGAGGAGCCGAGGCGCCGCGCGGCGGACGAGGGAGAGGGAGAGGGAGCAGGCGGGATGGCGGGCGGGCGGGCGGGCTGGGCGGACCTGGCCCTAGGTGTGAGGCCTCTGCGGGGCGCGCAGGTGCAGGTCTCGCCCTGGTCCCTAGAGCAGCGCAGTCCCGAGCGATGTGTTTCGGGACCGCCGAGGAGGAACGGCGCGCGCTCGGCTCCTGAATGTGGCCGGGGTGGTGCGAGTGTGTGCTGCGGGGTGGGGCGGGGGGAGCTGCTCTTGCTGGGTGTCCCCTAAGTGCAGGTGTGAGGCGCGGAAGGGCTTCCCTCTGGAGTGTTAGATGGCAAGTCTCGAGCTCTTCAGACGCCCCACAACCACCTCTCTTCTCGGCCTGTCGCTTCTCTCCTAGGAAGCGCTCAGCTGTTAGAAGTGACAGCTGAAAACTTCTGTCGGGAGTAGCACTGCCGCTGCTGTTACAGCCACCAGAAGTTTTATTTCGGGAGCAAGGGGGCCCTGCTGCATCTTCCAGGGTTTGTTTGTTTGCCTTTTATTTTTAACTCCCCTTCCGTGTGACATTTTAAAGGAAAAAAAAAAACCATTCATAATGACACACGGCATTTGTAAGTTAATTTCCCTCAAGTTGAAGATGTCTATATTTTTTTTTCGGAATAATTTATGTAATTGTAGGGTGGGGAAAAAACCCAGCGTTGACAGCTGTGATTTGTCTCGCCCGAAATAAATTGCTTGAACAGAGACTTGTGAATAGTGGTGTGAGGGCTTTCCTTGCTGAAGTTTAAATTTAGAATCACTTTTCCTAACGCACATCTTGGTTTTACCTTTGCTGTCCTAGGAGTTTGTTATTTATGGAATATCACCTTTTCTAAAGTAACATTTATTGAAACATACACATATTACACCGAGGGCCAAAAAAAAAAAATGAGATGGCAAACTGAAGAACCGATTCAGGGCAAATGCCCTCAGTAAAAACCTTATAGTGATTTCATGCCATTATCTGTATAAGAATATGGATTTATGGCTAATGTTAGGTATTTGCTGTATTTGCATAAGGGCTCTTTCTCTTCTCATCCCCAGTTTTCCTTCTTTAGTAAATAAATTGGCAAAAGATTGAAAGGCTTTGTATAAAGGACTCTGAACCTTTTATGAAATTAAGTGGGCCAACAAAGTATTGCTCTTTTCATAATTGAATGACTCTCAGAATTACACAGGTCCAAATGTGGGTTTTGAGACACACACTTTTTAAATGCGGAATTCCAGCTAACCTTTTAATCAAACATGGTGGATACTAAATTTGAAACAAATACAGTATTACTTTAATTATAAATATGATACACTGTTCAGTTACATTGTTTCCATATGGCAGTGGCTTTGGAGTCGGGCCAGAGAGTGAACTGCAGAGGAGAGTGGCTTTATGTGAATATTGTCATTAGTTACTGGTGGAATTTTCAGTCTGTGGGTTCATCATTTTTTGAGAGTACAATATTGTGATTCTTGGAATGAACTCTGGAGCCTTGTTTGTTTTTTTTTTTCACTTTCTTAATGTACTTCAAGAGCAGTAGGAGTTCCAGGTCTGGCCTACTCTTGGGGCAGAAAAAGTGGGTAAGAGAGTGAAATGTGACCACTACCTTAGGGAAAGGGTTAGGAGGAAGAGCAGAAGTAATGACAGATGATTTTGAAGAGGAGTACTTTTAGAGTTGAAATGTTTCTCTTGAGTGCATTCTTTAAAAAAAAAAAAAAAAACAACCAAAACCAGAGCTGGGCAGTGGTGGCGCACGCCTTTAATCCCAGCACTTGTGAGGCAGAGGCAGGTGGATCTTTGTGAGTTCAAGGCTAGGCTGGTCTACAAAGTAAGTGCCAGGATAGTCAGGACTACACAGGGAAACCCAGTCTCGAAAAACTAAGGTGAAAAAAAGAAAAAAGAAAAAAAAAAACAAAAAACAATGTGTCACTGTGTAGCCATGTGGCTTCAAACTCCAAATTCTCCTCCTGAGTGCCAAGAATACAGGCTGGGTGCACCTGCCAGGCCTTCATTGTGTTACTACAGGATGTCTTAACGTCTCAAGGTGGGAAAAGGGAAAGAGTTGTATGGAGTTGGGTCAGCTGCCTAAAGAGAATCAGTCTAGATTACTTTGGGGGAAAAAAAAGTTTAAAAATTTTTAAGTATGATAACAGTTTAGATTCTTAGAAAATCTTATGTTTCCTATGGTGATTGTACAACTTTTAGTTTCTTTTTTTTTTTCTTTTCAAGACAGGGTTTCTCAGTAGCTATGGAGCCAGCAGCTTTTAGTTTCTTATGTAAATCTTTCTTTGACATTGGTGGCATGTCAGAACAGCCCCATTTCTTTCTTATATAATGAGGAAACTGAGGCATAGGCCAGAAAAGTGATTGCCCACAATTACTATCATCTGACTCAGTTCAGTAGATTATATTATAAGCTTTAAATATCTTGGACCAGATGGATGGCCCAGTGTGTAAAGGCACTTGCTAACAAGTTTTGTGCTGAAGACTTGAGTTTGATAAATTTGATTGACACGAGCTTACTCTGTAGCTATCCTAGCCTTCAACTTGTGGTTCTTCTTGATCCTCCTGATCCTCTCTCCTGTGTGTTGGGTTGTAAGTTTGCACCCCCCAAATCTGGCTTGCACAGGGATTCCTTCTTTCACATTTATTTATTTTGATGAGGAAGGTGTGCAGTAGTACATGTATAGGAGGTCAGAGGACAGTTTGGAAGAGGTCAATTCTCTTTCCATCATGTGGAGAATCTGAGGATCAAACTTAGGTCCACAGACTTGGCAGCAAGGGTGTTTACCAACTGATACCAGCTGAGCCATTTCCTTGACTCTTACTGCATTTCTATATGTGCAGACACATTTCTGTGTGTGTGTGTGTGTGTACGTGCGTGTATGCATGCATTTGAGTGTGTGTGTGGCATTGTGCTATAGTGCACATTGTGGGTGAGATGACAACTTGTGGGAGTTGGTTCTCTCCTTCCATCCTGTCTGTATGTGGGTTTAGAGGAATGAATTCAGTCATCAGGCTTGGTGACAAGCTTTTACACACAGAAGTATCTCACAGCCCTGCAATTTTTTTTTTTTTTTTTTTTTTAAGACAGGGTTTCTCTGTGTAACAGTCCTAACTGTCCTGGAACTAGTTCTTATAGAACAGACTGGCCTCGAACTCATGGACAATCTGCCTGCCTCTGCCTCCAAGTGCTGGAATTAAAGGCTTGGGCCACCACCGCCTGGCTCAGCCCTGCATTCTTGATTGCATATATTATATTAGCTTCATTCACAGTGTGCCTATTGTATGTCAAGTTGAATTCAGTAAAAGAATTCAGTAAAAGAAAAATAGGGAATACAGATCTCTTTGGCCATACTCATGAACTATGGAATCTACAGTAAGCTGATATTTTTTTTCTTCTTTGTAAAGTGAGGGTATCTCAAGACACCCTGACTTATTGTCCAGTTTGCTGTTTCATGGGCTGTAGCTTATCAGCACCAGTCATTGCTAAGTTCTGAGTGATGAGAATTTGCCTTCAGCGTTTCCTAGCCACTCAGTATCAAATGCATGTAAACCAGAACTGGCATGTTTTTAGAATGGTAGTATTTTTTTAAATGATTGATCACACAGATAACACCTTTGTAGATATTTTGTACTGGGTGAATCTATATTAGTATAGGCATTTATATAGTCAATTCTTCAGACAGTAATTGATAAAACTAAATAAATAACTTATAGATAAAACTGAGTGGCTACTATCCAAATTAAAAAAAAAAACAGAATAAAAGCCCTAAAAGTATAAAGTAATGAATAATCACATGAATGAATAAAAGGCTTTGATGAGTTTTTTCTTCCTATTTGTCTATATTTCTGTGGTAATAAGCTGAAATTAAGGCAAAGTTTTCCTCTAGAGAAATGTTAGATTATGAAAATGTTGGCTGTGTCTTTCCTTTTTCTGCCAGTTAAAAATTTGAAATAATTGCTGAGACATACTTCACAAATTTTAGAATGAGATAGCAGATTTTTGTTTGACAAAAATTTATTGCTCTGCCAGGTATGATGGCGCATGCCTTTAATCCTAGTAGTCAGGGGGTTCTCTGAGTTCAAGACCAGCCTAGTATGCAAGTAATAGCCAGGGGTACATAGAATGATCCAGTCTCAGAAGAGAATTTATTTATTTATTTTTTAAAAATTAGGGTCCAGCTTGACAGCTCAGTGGGTAAAGGATCTTGCTGCCACACTGACAACCTAAGCTTAATGTTTGATTCCCGGAACCGACATGATGGAAAGAGAGAACTGACTTCCATAAGTTGACCCCTGACCTCCACTTGTGTACCATGTCATGAGCTTGCCCAAGTACACATACATATACCCATGCACATGCGCACAGAAGCACTCGTTTGATTTTTTTTTTCCCAAGACAGGGTTTCTCCATAGCTTTGGA